ACATCCTACATTTAGATGTCATATCTCTTCAAACTCCTTTAAACAGCTCCCCAGCCTTTCTGGTCTATAATGACTGGTATTTCTTAAGAGGATAACACCTCATTTGGGGATTTATCTAATTGTTTTCTCATGATTCGATTCAGGTGGAACATAGTGGGGAGGAATGCTAAGTGACAGGCAGAGAATAAGTCAACGGATAAATGATGTCAATTTGTTACTCTACTAATGATGTTAAATTGTTTAAATTTAGCCAGGCACAGGGGCCTGTAATCCCAGCACTTTGGGAGGCTGAGGCAGGAGGATCCCTTGAGACCAGGAATTCGAAACCAGCCTGGGCAATATAGGGAGCCCCTGTCTCTGCCACATGCCCTGCATGATGGCATGTGCCTGTATCCCCAGCTACTCAGGAGGCTGAGATAAGAGGATCACCTGAGCCTAGGAGGTCAAGGCTACAGTGAGCTGTGATAGCACAACTGCACTCCAGCCTGGGCAACAGAGTGAGACTCTGTCTCAAAAAAAAAAAAATTGTTTAAATTTGATCACTGGTTTAAAGTATTCTCCATCATAAAGGTGTGTTTCATCTTTGTAACTAAGTAGTCCAAGGGTTGATACTTGGAGAATATTCTATTCCTCAACAATCTTTCACTCACTGATTTTAGCACCTGCTGGCCATTCTTACGTAGGTCACTTATTAATTACTAGGGCAGTCATAAAATAGTGGTTCTCTCTCCCATCATCCTTTTATATTTATTGAGGATTGGCACTCTTCAAAAGTATTTCATGACAACACCAACAACAACAACAACAAAAAGAACAAGACCACCTATACAAGAGGGTTAGAGTGAAGAAGTTCCCTGTGGAGAACTAAGCCCTGCAGAGGAAGAACACACACCCAAGTGAGGTCTGAAGTCAGTGCTAAATACACACAGCTCTGTGTTGGCTGCTATGAAGATATGCAGATATTTTCCCTATGGTTAATCTGGTTCAAAGGAATTCTTCCATTCTATTGTGTAAGTTGTGGATGTTTACCATATTCTTTGTCCCAAGATGATGATGAGATACTGGCACAGGATCTAAAGGAACTACATTTTCAGGCTTCATACAATAACTTCTGACTTCCTCCCTGGAGTAGAGGAGGCATCTGAAAACATCACACTGAGAACACTGGACCTGACTGAAAACCCCAGGAGATCAATTCTAAAGTATGTTTGGCCATGAAACTTTTTTTTAACAGTATCTACCAAATGCCTTAAAATTATACTCTTTCATTCCTTATCTCACATGGCTTCAGTTCAAAGAAGGAAATGGTATTTATTTCCATCCCTTTCTATCTTGCTTATGGAGAGATACCCTGAGCCCTTAACACTGTATAACTTTATAAACTTAGGCTAATTGTCAGGGAATTAATCACTTTAATGCCATGGTCATGCCAATCCCAGTGCTTCAAAGGTGCAGCCCCTACCTCTTGAGTTCCAACCTACCAAAAATGTTGGCAAATAAACTCAAGGTAATATTCATTTTAGTTTAATTCAACAATCATAGTATAATCCATAAATACTCTGTCACCCTTGGACGTCATTTTTAAGTGCTTAACTTTCTGCCTTCCAAGTTGTCATAGAAAAAGTCCAAATCAATGTATGCTTATCACGTGCACACTATATAATAGTAGAAATCCATTATGAAATAATTGTCTTATGAATCACTATAAAGTTAGAAAATCCTAATCTTAGAATGAGTTATAGAAAGCTAGTCCAATCTCCTACCCAACGCTAGGCTCACATCTTCAGTATCTGAAACAGCGATGCCATCTCTGTTTAAATGCCACCGGGGAAAGATAGCCCATAACACATAACAGTTCATTCCACTAATTGACAATAGCACATTAGACAGTCTGGAGATAGATGTGTTTTGCATGTAAACCCACCAGGATACCAAAACACAGTGATAGAAAATGCAAATTTAAAGATGCAAATTCCTTTCAATGTTAAGCTTTTCTAAAACTTTGAAAGCAAAACTCTATCAAAATTTGATATACCAATATTAAGGAAGTTAACAGGTAATGTATATACAAATACATTTTCAGGCCAAGGAATGTGGGGATTTCTCCTGTTGTTGTTGTTTTTGAGACAGAGTCTCTCTCTATCACCCAGGCTGGAGTGCAGTGGTGTGACCTCAGCTCACTCTAACCTCCACCTTCCGAGTTCAAGCAATTCTCCTGCCTCAGCCTGCCAAGCAGCTGGGATTACAGGCGCCCGCTGCCATGCCTGGCTAATTTTTGTATTTTTAATAGAGACAGGGTTTCACCATGTTGGCTGGGCTGGTCTCAAACCCCTGACCTCAGGTGATACGCCCACCTCAGCCTCCCAAAGTGCTGGAATTACAGGCCTGAGTCACCACACCCAGCCGGGATCGCTCCCATTGTTCTATCTTGCCCCGAAACAGATCTATCTCAGTGCCACTAAGTCAAAACTCTACCATCTGTATCTTCCATGAAAGAGACCTGAGAATGTCACTTCATTTCCTTCTCTCGTCCATACTTGCTTTGCATATTTGGGCTCATTTGATTAAAAATCTCTCTATTCTCTTGATCTACTAACAATCCAGAATAAGTGGCCATGGTGAGTGATAAATATAAAGACATACAGATATGCAGAAATAGTCAATGATTTTGAGCCTGGGTGATTAAAAGGGTACTATAAAAGGCAGAAAGGAAATGAGACTTAATCTGGTTGGGAGAGACAGTTTGGGTTTGGAGATCTGAAGTTTAGGATGATGCAAAAATGCTCAGTGTATGGGTAGGAAATCCAGAAGAGAGATCTATCTGAGTCACCAGTAGAGATAGCAGTTGAAAATATGACAGATCAATTTCCTAAGGAAAAGGGAAATGAGAGAAAGAACATCAGCAAAGACATCCACTTATACCCCCTTCAAGTATTCCCTCCTTGTATATGTCTTTATTTCCTAATTTTCCTCCAGTGAATACTCTCATCTTCCTAATAAGTTCTGTAGGATCAAGAATCAGGGGTCTCACATATTTTATCATAGGCTGCTGGGGTCATAGAAGATACTCAATAAAATCATTTTGGCTGGTTCTAATAACAAGCCAGAAATTGTTTTGAAATATCTCATATCAGTGGGATTTTATCAATGCTTAGCACTTTCCCTGAACAATGAAGACTGCCTTCTACAGGTGGCCTGGAGAATCACATATACTGTCCCTTTGAGGTCGACACCAAAGGATGTCTTTATATTAAATCCATGCAACTCTTAAAAATCCAGCAAGTGCCAAGATTCTCACTGTTCTAGATCTTACTCTGTACAAAGTCAAAGGTAAATCTGTGCTTTTTGTCATTTTCGGACACTCCAGTGTATTTGCAAATATAAGTAGTTGTGATTTCATAATTTTCTTTCAATTTTGGCAAATAGACTAAAATAATTAAACTAGCAACAATATAATTTGAGGATAATTGCTACTTCATATCTGTACAGAAAACTGCATATTCTTAAAGTTCTTTATCATCAACTTTATTCATACACTGACGATATTAGTAAAAAGCTCACTAAGTCTTTTATGTCACAAGAGCCCTAAGCTCAAGTCATCCTGGCCTTCCATAAATTTCCACCACTTAGTCCTTATTTTTTAATTTACCAATGTTATTTCCCATGCCTGGAACTCTTCTTCTCCCCACCCTGCTCCCCTCTATCCAAATTATCCAAATTCTTCCTTCTCCTTCATATTGGTATCTTCGACTTCATTCAATCTATAGTTCCCCTTCTCTGAATTCTGATGATCATATATATCATCAGAATACATGTATATATATAATCTCCAACCAATATATTCATAAAATCTTCAACATATATAATTATATATAATATAAATATACATAATCTCCAATTGGTTGTATATGTATATGTATATCTCCAACCAATCTAACATTTAAGTTTAAGTTTTCTTGTGTTATTTAGGAAATATTTCATGTAAGTTCTTTTTTAATTTTTCTCTCCTAGAATGTACCAGTAAGTTATTTGAAGCCAATCCTCACCTGAGATATATGTGTGTGTTCACTGGCACCAATCTATGACATTTTATGCATACAGAAGGCAGACAATATTTGTAAATCACTGAAATACTTCTTGACATTTGTAGAATTTCATATAATTCCTTATCTACTTGGCCATTGAGAAATGCTTTTAAATCATAATATTGCATACTAGACCAACATAAATTCATTGTACTCATAACCTAATCCTTCAGGGAAGGTCCTATTTTGATTAAAAATGAAGGAGTAGGAGGAGGTAAAGCTTTTAGTATATTGATAGAACTGTTACTAATATTGCATTACTGTCCTTTATAATTTAAGGCAACATCACTAACAAAGATTAGGGAAAAGATCAATAAGTTATGAGTTATTAATGCAGGAATGAAAAGAAGTCCAATACCAAAGACACTGAAGCTAATAATATCTTCTCCTCCACTTGCTGACCCATTATAATCAGGCCTGGGCCTTTTTTCCCTAGTAGAGGTGATAAATGTTTACAGAGTGGCAGTTTCTCCCTGAGCTGTCAAAAGACCCTAATGTAATGAAACCAACCACTTCAGGCGCATTAGGGTCACTCTTTAACAAGTTAGGCAGAACCCACCACCCAACCACATCAGGATTCAAAGTTTCAAAGAGGATGGGGAATGTAGAGTTTGGAAAAGAGCAGTAAAAATGATCAGAAATAAATAGTCCAAAAGAAATAAAAACAAGGCCGAGTACAATGGGTCATATCTGGAATCTCAGCACTTTGGGAGGCTGAGGTGGGAGGAATGCTTGAAGGCTAGCAGTTTGAGACCAATCTGGACAACATAACAAGACCCTATTGCTACCAAAAATGTACGTTTTAAAAATTGGCCAGGCATGGTGCCATGCACCTGTAGTCCCGGCTACTCAGCAGACTGAGGCAGGAGGATGTTTGAGCCCAGGAGTTTGAGGCTGCAGCGAGCTATGATCACAGGACTGTACTCCAGCCTGTGAAGCAGAGCAAGACCACATCTCTAAAAAAGAAAAAGAAATAGAAACAGCACCGTCTGCATCAGTCTTCACTGAAGTGCAGTGTTGAGGGGTGGTGGGGCAAGGCAGCACAAAGACAGATCATGAAGGAAACATCTCAAAAGCCGTAAGGAACAGTCCTGTGCTGAAAGCAATGCTGACATCTCTAATTCTTATGATGAATGGAATTCCAGAATCTCTAGAGGCTCACAGGCACACACATACACACACATGCACCATGCATACACACACACCATGCATACACACACACACACACAGCCACTGTGCACATGCATTAGGTTGAAGCTATATTTGCTTATCACCAAGGGTTCCCACCACATTGAAATGAAACCAGCAGCTCCTTTTCACATCATAAGACTCCTATGAGAGGGATGGTTCATGTTTAAAAGTCTTACAAACAACTGTTTTAAATTGGGGGTTGGGGAGAAGAAATGGTAAGTTGCAGAGGGGACTGCTTAATGAACTGGGCTATTTAAGGCTTCCCTTGAAATCTAGCATCATTCTTGCCTTTTTCCTGCTAAATAAAGCCTCAAAGTAAGAGGAATGCAAAGATTGAAGAAGTAGAAACCATCACTGTAGAAAAACAAAGGTGGATCTGGCAAATGCAATGAATTTAGAGGGAATGTAAGTTTTGTTTCCCAGCCATCAAAAATAGTTTGATGGATTTGTGCCAAAAGGAGAAATAAAAGCACACTCCTTCCTCCCTGCACCCTACAGAGCTGCCTTTGATGTCACATGTGCTCCACAGGGCACGGATGGAAACAGAACTCAGGCTCATTTAAAATTTTATTGTATATGGTTTGGTATAAGACAGTGTCCTTTAGACATTTACAAAAAAGTCATTTTCAGCACCTTCTTAGATACATTGAACTTTTCTTTTATGCCCTGGAATTTAAATCCATGCTTCCCTTTGGTTATACCTTCTGGTCCCAGAGACAGCCTTGGGGACTTGGCCCAGTTGCCTGGATCTGGTTCAGGAGCTGCCTGGATGGACGGCTTGTAGAGACTGAAGCTGACTCTCCGCAGCCACCTGGCAAGCGTTGGCCAGCTTTGCAGCCTTCTGGTCTCCCCAGCCAGCTCCCTGGGAGGCCTCAGGCCCTTCTCGGCTCTCCGTTCTGCCTTACCAGGCCTATGGGATGAAGTACAGCTGTCCATTCTTTATGCCTGGTACCCGCCATAGAAGGGAAAAAAAATACCACATTTGGAATAATAACAACTACATTGCTGGTTATGTTTCAAAATCAATCCATCTTCAAAATCAGGGACTTCTTTTGTAAGCCTCATTACAGCCTTAAGTATAGAAATGTTTATATTGTTTGCTTTGTTTGGTTTTTTACCTAGATACTGAGCTTAGAGTATGGACTCCTGTCAAGCCAGTGTCACATAACTAGGAGCTACAAGATCAGAAAGAGAGAGAAACAAAAGCATTCTATATTTTCAAATGCATTAATTCACCCAGTGTGTGGACTCTAAAGAGGGAAAAAATAGAAATAGATTTTCAGCATAAGAAATTTAGTCATGGAATATTAGCATATACCATCTTTTTTCTGGAAGGGAAGCTACAACTAAAAGAAATCATGAAGACCAACTAACCCAATTGTTTAAAGAGGAGGAAACTGCTGCCCAGAACTTAATGGCTCAGATTAAGAGTGTCAAAGAGACACACAAGTCAAATAGAAGAAGTCTCCACTGGCCAAAGATGGGGCAATATGAATATCAAAAGGAATTACTGCAACTGATTCAAATATACTCAAACGCATCCACGGGTTTATAATGAGTTGATAAGATGTTCCTCCCACTCCTTTCCCTCTTCCCCAAAAGGTAGAGAACAACTCCCTGGTTCCCACCAAGGCAGGATGCCAGGACCCCAATTCATTATTCAGAAAATGGATCAGTAACAGAAAAGAATGACGAATGGATCTTGCTTTTTCTTTTCAAACTATATTTCAGAATACCAAATAAGTAAGGATAAAAAATTGATCCATATTAAAGAATTCCAACTAATAAATGCAGAAAGAATGATGGAATTCTCTCTAGAAGTCTATTGCAAAAACCATTACTTAGGGTAATGTTGGTTGATGAGGAACCTTATAAATGATGGACCAGGTATACAGCTAAGTCTTCTGACCAATCTTAACTCACTGAAGCTGGGACAAACAGATACTATGTCTCTCCCAATGAGATGCACTAGAAAGTACATAGCACCAACTATAAAGTGATCTTGCCTAGAAAAAAAAAAAGAAGAAAAGAAAATTTGAGCCCTAATATTATCAGGCCTGTTGATCTATGAGTTTATATGAAATATGGGGATAGAGGCACAAGTTAAATGATACTACAAGGAAGCAATCAGCCCAACCCAGAATGTGGAACATGCTACAAGGCAAAAACCTGATGTCTCCAACAAATAAAGGGAATTAAAAGGGGGAAAGGAGTGGAAGGGGACTATTATAAATTTAAAAATATTTAAGAGACAAAGCTGCTAATTCAATAAATGTACTTCATTTGGCTCATAACTTGAGCAACTACTAAAACAAAACAAAACAAAAGACTTTGCAATTTGCAATTGAAAGAGATATCCAATAAAATGTGAATATGAACTGTGTTAAAAGGAATTAAGAAATTATTGTTAATATTTTGCAATATTTATGTTATAGGTATTTATACATACAACTAAATACTTGTTAGGAATGCATACTAAAATATTTTGGCATCTATATTTTTGTAAAAAGGAAGTTAATGACTCGGTTGGGACTAGAATCTGCTCTTATGGTACCCAGCACACACTGATTTAATTATAACCAAATTCAAAGGAAACACAAATAGTAAATTTTTTTAATTCTTAGAAAAGAACAACACCAACCGTCATTTGTGTTCTCTCTTCCCTGCATTAGTAAGACACCATGTACGTTTGAAGACCATAGACATTTTCTTCCTCTTGAAACAACAAAAACATATAAATAGGATTACATAATAATCTTATAGATTACATTAGTTACAGTGGAGTTTTGTGCATTGGGTGAGTTAATCTCAATGTAAATAAGAAAAGTCTCCCTAGACAAAAAATATCTCACACACACACACCAAGAGCGTTTCAAATTCTCATGTACACTTCACACATGTGATATGGAAGGAATGATACACTGAGCCACATAACTTTGATTACTGTATCAGATTAAATTTAGTCTAAAGAGATAACACACAGGACAACTAAGAATCCACAAACATACAGAGCTGAAAAATCCACAGTAAGGGTCCTTAATTACTAAAGATATAAAAGAAATGGGTGTCTGGAAAAGCAAGTTCAGAATGGAGAGGGCGAGAGAACAAAAGCAAAAAAAGGAAGAACAAGAGAACAAAAGCAAAAAAAGGAAGAACAAGAGAACATAATCAACACCTCTTCCAAATCTTAACTCTCAACTTATCCCATAATTGTTAAAACACTTTTTTTTAAAGTGTGACACAAGTGAAAACATACTCAAAGCGTAAAAACATAACATTGAAAAAAAAAAAAACAGAAAAGATGGTCCTCAAACTCTCATTTCTCTCACTTGAATCTCCATCTTCAATGAACAGCATGAAAGAAGGACATACAGGGTTTTAAGTTGTCAGTGGTCTAAGAGCTGAATATCATATAAGCCACATGCATATTAAGTAGAAACAACAAAGTTTCAGAAACAATGACAGGTGTGCAACTTTCAGTGTGTGGTTCCACAGGTAAGCAGTTTGGAAGCTGCCACTCTAGAATTCTGTACTCTGCTAAGTTATCCTTCAGAAGTGAAGGAGAAATAGCAACTTTCTCAGACAAACAAAAATTGAAAGAATTTGTTGCCAATACACCTGCCTTGGAAGAAATGTTAAAAGAAGCTCTTCAAAGAGAGAAAATGATGAAGGTCAGGAACTTGGATCTACATGAATTAAGAAAGTACATTAAAAAAAGGTGTAAGTAGAGGTAAAATTTAAATTTCTTTAACTTTTTTCTTTTCTTTTCTTATTTTTTTTAAGAAATGGGGTCTTGCATATTGCCCAGGCTCTGGCATCAAACTCCTGGGCTCAAGTCATCCTACCACATTAGCCTCTTGAGTAGCTAGGACTACAGGTATGTGCCACCATGCCTGGCTTCTTATTCTTAATTGACCTTACAGAAGTTTGTTCAAAATAATAATAAAAACAATGTATTCAGTTACATATTCTTATATACAGATATTTTATGTATGTATATATGTGTATATAGGTATCTATGTTACACACTCATATATGCTTTTGTATAAGTGAAATGGATCACAAAAAGGAATGAGAGGGTGGAATTAGAAGAATTAGAATTACTTTATTATGAGGTACTTATACTACCCATGAAGTAGCATATTGCTATTTGAAAGAGGACTTGGATTACCTGTATATTGCAAACCTCAGGGCAACTACTAAAAAAGAAAACTTTAAAAAACAGTATAACAGAGATGCTAAGAAAGGAGAGAAAATAGAATCATATAAAATGCTCAATTAAAACCATAAAAATTAGAAAGAGTGTAACACAGAGAAACGAAAGAACAAGGGCAAAAAATTTAAAATAGTAATAAATATGGCAGATACTAACCCAATTATATCAATAATCACTTTGAACATCAGTGATCTAAATGCACCAACTGAAAGACAGAAATTTTCAGAATGGATCAAAAAAATATGACCTAATTGTATTTTGTCTACAAGAAACCCATTTTAAATACAAAGTCATATATAATTTTAAAGTAAATGAATGGAGAAAAAGATATCATGATAACACTAACCAAAGGAAAGCAGGAGTAGCTATGTTAATTTCAAAACAGGGTAGACTTCAAAACAGGGAAAGTCATCTGGGACAAAGAAAGCCATTACATAATAATAAATGGGTCAATTCTCTAAGATAATATAACAATCTTTAACATGTATGCATCTAACAACAGAGCATCACATTACACAAAGCAAAAACTGATAAAACTGCAAGTAGAAACAGATGAGTTTACTCTTACAATTGGAAATTTCAACACCCCTCTATCAGTACCGGACAGATCCAGCAGGCAGAAAATCAGTAAGGACATAGTTGAATTCAACACTAGCATCAATCAACAGCATATCATTGACATGTATAGACTACTTTACCCAACAACAGCAGAATACATCCTCTTTTCAAACCTACATGAAACATTCACCAAGACAGACCACATTAAACACATCTTAACAAATTTAAAAGAATAGAAATCATACAATGTCTTCTCTCAGATCACAATGAAATTAAACTAGAAGTCAATAACAAAAAGATAAGAAAATCCTGAAATATATGGAGAATTAAATAACACACTTCTAAATAACACATGGTTCAAAGACTGAATCTCAAGATAAATTATAAAATATTTTGAACTGAATGAAAATGAAAATACAACTTGTCAAAAATTGTGGGATGCCACAAAATCAGTGATCTGAAGGAAATTTATAACATTGAATGCACGTATTGTAAAAGAAAAAAGATTGAAAATTAATAATCTACCTTTCCACTTTAGGAAACTGGAAAAAGAAGAGCCAATTAAATACAAAGTAAGCAGAAAAAAAAGAAATAATAAAAACTAGAGTAGAAAACAATAAAATTGAAAAGTGGGGACTCCATAGAGAAAAAAGAAGTCAATGAAACCAAAAACTGATCCTTTGAAAAGATTAATAAAATCAATAAGCCTCTAGCCAGGCTAAGAAAAAGAGAGGACACAGATTACTAACATCATAAATGAAAGAGGGGCCATCATTACAGATGCCATAGATATTAAAAGGATAATAAAAGAATACTATGAACAACCCTATGCTCACACATTTATTAACCAATTTGAAATGGACCAATTCTTTGCAAGACACAATCTGCCAAAACTCACACAAGAGGAAATAGACAATCTGAAGAGGCCCATATCTGTTCAAGAAATTGGATCAATCATTAACAATCTTTGAAAACCGAAAGCACAAAGCCTAGGTTAGTTCACTAGTGAAGTCTACCAGACATTTAAGGAAGAAATTATACCAGTTCTCTACAATCTCTTTCAGAGAATAAAAGCAGAGGGAATGCTTCCTAACTCATTCTTATGACACCCTCATTGCCCTAATGCCAAAACCAGACCGAAATAATGACCATGTTGTATCCTCCACAGCTG